TATAAGCAAATGTATATAAAAAAGTGCGATTACAAATCGAAAATATTTGCTCTTTAAGAAGTTATAGCGATTTGAATTTTCCATCTTCATAGTAGAATGTCTCTCATGATGCACGTCACATTCTCATTATATTTATAAATAATTATGGCGGCTTATTCGCAAGAACAAGGGGCACGCTTTCATCAAAATATAGTGGGACTAGCTTTCCGCCCGCGGCTTCGCCCGCGTGGAATTTTGTCTGTCACAGAAAAACTTTACCGCGCGCGTCCCTGTTTCAAAAACCGGGATAAAAACTATCCTATGTTCTTTCCCGGGACTCAAACTATCTCTATGCCAAATTTCATCAAAATCGGTTGCGAGGTTTAAGCGGGAAAGCGTAACAGACAGACAGACAGACAGACAGAGTTGCTTTCGCATTTATAATATTAGTTGGGATTAGTTGGGATTTGACAAACGACCTTGCCAAGGCCAGTATACTAAAAGCATGATAGGGTTAGATTTTTATGAAAAAAAACTTCTATGGAACATGACAGGAAATTAGAACTTTTCATTTTTAATAAATATTTGGACTCTATTTTAATTTTTCTCTTGTGAGAATGAATCTTAAATGGATGTTTGTATGTTTTAATAATTAGAAAGAATGAAAGAAAGAAAGAAAAAAATATATTTGGCAACAAATTACATCATCTCTATGTTCATGTTTCATACATTCATTGATATGAATTTTTCTATTTTTTACACATAAAAGCAAATTCAGAACAATTTTTTGTTGTTATTCTTGTTTCTAGGTTATAAAGCAATAAAAATAAGCTATGCATAACCCGTGCGCAAAAATACTGTAGACAGTTGTTATAGGTATAAATCGAAATTCAAAGACAGATACATACAGAATCTATACTTCTTTACTAATATTATAAATGCAAAAGTAACTCTGTCTGTCTGTCTGTCTTGCTTTCACGCCTAATCCACTGAACTGATTTTGACGAAATTTGGCATAGAGATAGTTTGAGTCCCGGGAAAGGACATAGGATAGTTTTTCTGTGACAGACAAAATTCCACGCGGGCGAAGCAGCGGGTTTGAAAGCTAGTTCTAATATATCTTCAGGCACAAATATACTTTTAAGTATTGTATTTTGAACATGCATTTCTGACATAGCAGCCACCTTTTCAACGTCATCATCATCATCATTTCAGCCACAGGACGTCCACTGCTGAACATAGGCCTCCCCCAATGATTTCCACAATGGCCGGTTGGTGGTTTCAACTGTGCCGAATTCAAATTAATTAAATTAATATATTGTTCAACCACACTTTGATGTTAATCAATGAGGTATAAAATTAGTTCCAACGTAATCCATTAATTATTTGATTAGGATCATTGTCAAAGCTAACTAGGCTTCTGTTGGATTAACTCATTGTATATGTTACGGCTAAAGATAGTTGTGAACATAAACTTAAGATTAGCCGGCTAAACTTAAGTTTATCTTCGAGAAGCAGCTAAAGTTCGATAGCATGTTAGTTTGCGTCGTGATATTCCATCTTTAGCCGGCTAATGTGCACATTAGCCAAAACGAAACGGCTAAAAATGTATTCGATGGGCGCGCCAGGCCGGCGGAGGGCTTGAGGGGGCGCGGTGGGGAGACAACGCGCGCGTAGTCTTATTTTGTTTTATTTAAATACCTACAGAAGATTCAATTGTAATGACCAAATGGTTCCTTATTATTTTATTTTAATGATTAGGTAGATGTAATAATTGTAATTTTGAATACCTACATAGGTACATAAAAGTATGTGTAATGAAAGTGATTATTTTTTAACACGTTCCGCCGCGGTAACGGCACATACAGTAAAGGTGGAATTCATTCATATTATGGCAGTACGGGTCTCGCCGTTTTCACGAAAATCAATCTAAAAATCACTACCACAACAACTGTCGATTTTACATTAGAGTTTCATAGAGAGCAGACTTGTTGTTGCAAAATATTGTGAACAACAGTACGGGTATAGGTGTATGAAACATTTATGTGAAGATTGTTAGTGTCATAGTGGACTGGAGTACAGCGTCGGAACGTGTTAATAAAGTTTTCGTGTCAAAATAGTAAACATTATTACATCGTTTCCTTTTCCATTTCCTTCTACATTTTTAGCCAAGGGCCTGCGGTTACACTTAAGTTTAGCCGGCTAAAGATAGAAGAAACTAACATTAACACCTCGTCGAAGATAAACTTAAGTTTAGCCGGCTAATCTTAAGTTTATGTTCACACCTATCTTTAGCCGTAACATATACATTTGACATTAGTCTACCATAGTGATATTAATTGGAGGTTATACAGGGTGTCCCTTAAAGAACGTGGAAAACTTAAGGAGAAAATAGAATAATGGATGACTGTAAAGACAAAATAATGACCTTAATAAAAGTATCACGGTTTCAGAGATGTGTATGTTGCAGTCAAAACTAACTATAAGTCAAAACCACTTGACTGCAAAAATCAGTCAAAAGTAAGTAGTTTTCACTGATGCTCTTGGTCAATATCAATTGCGTTCCGTTTACGTTACAGCTTCGTTAGAACTAGCTGTCAAAGCGAGACTGCGATACGAATTTGTGCAAACAGCTGATTTTCGTTTGTCGTCCAGTCGCGTTGCAGTTGAAAATATTTATCGCAATCGGGGCGCTGGATGCACGCACATATTATTATGACCTAAAAATTATGGCCTGCTTAAATCAATATCCTTTGACATCGCAATCAATTTAGCAACGATCACGTGCCGTGTACCTACCGGTAATCGAATCGTCGACTACTCGCTGTGCCTATATCGCAGTAACTGAGTTACAGCGAACAGGCCTTGAAAGCTGCAATATACATGACGTATTAGAATGGCGACGTTCGAGTGTGAATAAAATTGGTTGGCTTAATGGCTGAAGCTCAGAGCCGTACAACGTCAAATTCAATAAATATATCACCGAAGGGTATGTTATTTAGGTGTCTAATAGTTTATTAATTTATTGTTTTTATTTATTTATTTTTATTTATTAATATTAATTGGGAGACAAACAATTCTGATACACAGATATTAGTATATGAATCACAGAAAAATAGTTTAAAAGTAATAAGTTTTAAATTCATTAAGAATTTTTTTCTTCAAAATAAGACGGTGGTCTGTATCGGTACTGGTATGTCGTTGGAGTACGTATTTTTTTAGTAAATAAAAACAAGTTTTTAATGACTGTAACACACTGTGTGGGTGTTAAAAAGAAACAAATTTAAAAGTCAAGCTGTAATACCAAAATAACATCAATTTATTTTGTCAATTTTACATATTGAAATTGATATTATAAATTATCTGTATTGTATAACTTGAAGGCGCGTTGGACTTTCTGTAAGCCTTCAAGCAGATTATAAATAAATAAATAAATAAATCAAAATATGCAATCATAATCATGATTATTGATTGCTTAGAGGTACATAGCATCTGCAGTAATAAAATCTGATCATCAAATCCTACCTTAACATAAATACATGGATATACTTTACCCTCTTTTGCATCGCAATCGGATAGCAACCAAGCCTCGTCCTGCTACCCTGTATAAGATAATGATGCCCCGAAAGTTGTCGCAGTCAACTACATAATTTAGATGCTCGAAGTAGTAATTACATACCGAGTTTCCAGATGGAAAACGTAAACTCCAGTGACAGTTATAATAACGGCTATAGTCGTTGTTATCTGGAGAAACGTTTCCACTGTCGGCACGACTAAAATCCGGAGGCAAAATAACGTCACTGCTGGACAAATAGTGCATTCAAAAAATGACCATAAAGGGGCTGTAGAGTGCGTGAAGCAGGGTACTCTTCTAGCCGTGTAGCATGTAATGTATCAGATACTGTATCAAGTGAGTACATAGGCACGAGCCCGCTGCGAGCTGCTCGCGCGTGGTTCGCAGGGAGATCGCAGCGACCCGCCGACTGGCGGTATCACTGCGAGCACAAAGGCGGCTCGCAGTAGGATCCAAGAGCTCGCAGCTAGATACGCGATGACCGTGGATGAGCCGTACTCACTTGAAGGTTGGACACGTTACATGCTACGAGCCTGAGCTGGTACCTAAGCTATTTTAGAAATTGGTTCAGGATGCTTAGAGAGTAAACAACTAAAAGTCCCCGCCTCAAGGGGGCTGGAGTGGGGGAGGGGTGAAAGCTTTGAGATTTTTTGCTAAAATCTTTAAAATGTTGCTTCATAGAGAAACATTTTCTATGACGCTATTCCTTCGTTCGTTTCAGCTGAAAAACGTCCACTGCTGGACAAAGGCCTTTTTTTTTTTTAATTTTCGTCAGGAAATGCATGAAATTGCATACCCACTGGCCCGGGGGAACCAGTGGGTTATGTGAGGCTCTCCCTGCCAGATGGGCAGGGCCTACTCACTAAAACCTGACGGTGTCCTCCCGAAGTCTTTGGGACGGAGCTGCGAGTTATTGTCCGAGCTAGACGGCCTAGACATTCTTTCGCGGCTCCGCCCCAGACTGTGGCTCGCTCTGTTGGTCTGAGCAAGCGACGACTGGCTTCAGGGGAGTAGTACCTCCCCTGTTCTTCACTAACGGTGCGCGTGAACACATACGCGCGCCGCCGCCGCGGATCCTCCTTTAGCGGCCACCAAACACCCCCGTGTCTAGTGGCCGAGGACCCTTAAGAGGGGGCATGGAGATGGTAGTGTCTCCTGCGGTGTCCTGGACGTCGGCGACGGTTCGGTGGAGCGTCAGGCGAGGCCTCTCGCTCCCTCTCCGCCGCTTCTTTCTGCGACATGACCTCCTCGCAGAAGTGGAGCACCGCATGCCATGCATCTGGGCTCTCTAGCATACGAGGCAGGATGGCCCGTAAGGAGAGATCTTGTCCTACCTGTTCCACGAGGATTTCGCGCTCTGCCACCCAAGCTTGGCACACTTCGAGTGTGTGCTGCGCGGAATCCTCAATGCCTTCTCGACAATGCCAGCAATTGGCACTTTGCTAACCATGCCACCTCCCGCTCCACTTCTACCTCTTCCCTGCCAACTGGGCTCCAAGCCTTGACAAGGGCAGCCTCCTTCATCATGTCTCTATCTAGGCTCGTCAGTTTCCAACGCCGAAAAATATTCGCTCGAGGTGGGCTAGGCGCTAGCATGCTTGTGTTGGAGGTAGAGACGTTAAAAGTGATATACCGGTGATCCGATAATGACTCTGCCTCCGTCATTACCCTCCAGGCAGTGACCCGATGTGCCACTGTAGGGCTGGCGAAAGAAATATCCACTATCGATTCGCCCTGCGGTCGCACACATGTGGACTCTGTCCCAGTATTGAGAACTGACAGCCCTTGTACAACGGCCCAATCACGCAAGATGGTTCCGCGAACATCCGTCCGCCTTGCGCCCCAAGCCGTGGCTTTAGCATTGAAGTCTCCCGCCACAAGAGAAGGGAGCGAATGCTGTTGGAGGACGACACCCAGCCCGTCAAGGTCAGCCTCGAATTCAGCAACACTTCGACTGGGAGGAAAGTAGACTCCCGCCACAATCAGCTCTCCACACTTGGCGACTACGAAGCCGTCCCCTCGTGCTATTAAATCGGGTTTGTGTGTGCCGGACATTACAAGAGCTACTAACTCCTCCCCCAAAGGCCTCCCCCAAGGATTTGACCGACCAGTAGTTCTGCGCTGCCCGCATCCAGGTGGTACCCGCGACCTTCAACTGATTGTTGGTCCACCTAGTGGGAGGCTTGTCCATACTACGTCTTCCGGCCCGTGGTCGCCGCTCGAGAACTTTTCTGCCCCAGCGGCCATCAGCTATACGAGCTATGTGCCCCGCCCACTGCCACTTAGTTTGGCAATTCTGCATGCTATGTCGGTTACTTTGGTTTTTCTTCGGATCTCCTCATTTCTGATTCGATAACGCAAGGAAACTCCAAGCATTAATTGCGGGGTCATTTATTTATTTAGTTTTGTATTCCCGCACTCTTGTATCCTGGACAAACATTACTATGAGGTCTCACAGTGCGCGTGGTCATACAGGGACACACGAACCAATCATAGAGCTCTATTCAACGCTGTGCGTTCGATTTGCTGCTTCACTTAATCAAGCATCGTTTGTGAATACGGGCGTTAGTCAACTCGAACAATGGAAACGCACTCTGATACCTAAATCTGCCCACAAAATGTTATTCACGCTTCACAAACTCGAATGATTCAAAACTTTTAATGGATACTACCATCTCTATACATTTTTAGAACAAATCCTCCAATCAAAAAGCGACCTTGGAACTTCGAGAATAAATCCCATTGTTGAACGACAGGACGGTCAACGCCAATATTTTATGTATGGAGATGAAATAATACTAATTTGGCTCCTGCGATTTGCTTTGAGAGGTTTTGTTGGATTCCATTATTTTTATTTAACTCCTTAATAAAGCGTATTAAGGAGTTAAGGGTTCGGGATTCTGGATTTAGGATATTTATCTATTCTATCTAAATATAAAATATGTATAACTCAAAGGTGACTGAATGACTAACATAGTGATCTATCAACGCACAGCCCAAACCACTGGAAGGATCGGGCTGAAATTTGGTATGCAGGTAGATGTTATGACGTAGGCATCCGCTAAGAAAGGATTTTACGAAACTCCACCCCTAAGGGGGTAAAACGGAATCCACGCGTACGAAGTCGCGGGCGGCCGCTAGTTTATTATACAAAATCGGAACGAGTATAGAATTATACATATTATTATAATACTAGCTTTCGCCCGCGGCTTAGCTTGCATAAATTCAGTTTGTCACAGATCGTTATAATTTATAACCTATTATATTATGTTATTCTGATGTAGGTAAAGGTAAACAATAATAATGTAAGGTATCATCAATATCCGTTCAATAGTTTTTGCGTGAAAGAGTAACAAACATACATCGATCCATCTTTCACATTTACAACATTTAAAAATACATAGTAATAAAAATTGACACCTGAAAATGATTAGTCAAATAAAAACAGAAAGAAACATTATTTCAATTACAAAAGTGTCAAGAAACAAATTACTATCCAATAATGGAATATTACAGATAATTCGATTGTGCTTCTTTCAAATAAGTACCAAAAAGCTTTGTAAATAGGTCGCGATGCATATTTTATGGTATCGATTCGCCATGGTACTGATACCCATACCCATCCATAGGGTGGAATGACATCGAGTTTTCGATTCGTTAGAAATTAGATATCATCTAAATAATATAAAAGGAGAAACTGACTGACTGACATATCAACGCACAGCCTAAACGACTAAACGTAGGCACTTGAAATTTGGAATAGACGTAGCTTAGGCACCGTAGAGGTGCATTAAGAAAGGAATTCCCGAAATTCTCACGGCAACGGGAATTAGCGGGAAAATCCTTTTGTATGTAAATACTAAACCGCTTAAGTTAGACGCTTGAAATTTGGCATGCAGGTACCTTAGTAAACTTAAAGCTTAATTACAACAGGATATTGCAAAATTCCCACGGGAACGGGAGTTAGCGGGAAAAAACATTTGTATGAAAACATCGCCTTAGTAAAACCGCGGGGTAAAACGGGATCCACGCGTACGAAGTTGCGGGCGGCTGCTAGTCTATATCTATTAGATTAATTTAATAATACAAAAGTTTGTAACAATGTTTGTTTACGCTACAATTATCAAGCGGATTTTGATGTAATTTTACATTATTACTCATTGCATTAATAAAATATATTAGAATACCTACCTCTATAATAAAGAAGAGTAACCGAGTTTCTTGCTCTACGTCTTCTCAGCGCCTCATTTGCCCTGAACCAGTGGTAGGTTTCAATTAATACTGGGACTTGTAAAAGCGCTTTTTAAAAGCCTATATTTTCAGAAAAATAAGTTTTTTTTACCTATGACTTTCATTGATAAAATATCAGAATATCTCTCAGATTAGGTATAATCATCTCTAATATTATAAAGCTGAAGAGTTTGTTTGTTTGTTTGTTTACTTGAACGTGCTAATCTCAGGAACTAATGGTCCGATTTGAAAAATTCTTTCAGTGTTAGAAAGCTCATTTATCGAGGAAGGCTATAGGCTATATACCATCACGATACGAGTAATAGGAGCAGAGCAACAATGAAAAATGATGCAAAAACGGGTTTTTACGCGTAAGAAGTCGCGGGCGCAGCTAGTATGTCAATAAATCTACATCATCATCTGTACGGCTAGGATGCGCGCCGCGATAAGCGGTTATCACGCCATTTTATCGATTTTGCCCATACATTTTGACATCGATAAAGTATATCACGGCGAGTGGGAAAGATCTTATTCTACCTACTCTACATAAGGTACTAAGTTTTGCAAAAAGCATTGGGGGAGGCCTATGTTCAGCAGTGGACGTCCTATGGCAGAGACGATGATGCTGATGATGAATGGTCGCGGGAAGCACCTGGATTCGGACACCGTACTACGACCGGGCGTTGTAGAAATCCTTGGGGAAGGTTTTTGTCTAATATTGGACATTATTTGGCTGAGATTATGATTTTTTTTTATCCACAACGAGGAAGCTCTTGGCCTGTGCCTCACCTGATGGTAAGTGACGATCAGGCCGAAGGTGGAAGCGAGCTTCACCCGGAATCCTCAACCACGGAGAACTGGCTCTTACCGCTAACTGCCGGAACACCAACGTATATGTAACTTAGTATGTCGTAAATGATTACACGTCCTGTATCTACCAAAATTTCCGCCTCGATTTGACCTTTTCCAGGTTTTTTCCACAAAACGTAGCTGTCCTTTCCAAGGTCTGACGAATATGTTACATAATTCATCAAAATTGGTTTAGTGGTCAGACCGAATTACAATCACGTTTGTGTCAATACTACTTTGTGCCTGCGGTTTTGTTCGCGTGGATTGTCTGTCAAAGCACAGAATAATAATAAGTACTACGTACAGAAGTTTTACTTCGCGAAGGTATTTAAAAAAATGTATGCTCAATGTCATTAACAATATGGTGTAATTTAGCCTGTCTCACTGCGCCGAAGCTATAGGGCTGACTTCGGTAAAATGATGTGACGTGAGGTGCCAAACTGCGGAAAATGGCGGAGGAAATACATGATTTAGCATGAATTATCATGAATAATATTAACTACTTATTTACCTCTCAGTGTCTTGAGGCAACTTAAAAAAGTACATTCTGTGTTTTTACTATTATTTAGGCAGTTAAATACTGCACAGTATTTAGTACACCATTTTCTTTATTTTTTTCCATCAAACACAAGAATACGCGTGCGTGAGTCAATGTTCGCTCGTATGTGAGGCCTTGTCGAATAGTATCCTGCAAGTGGGCCATCGTGCGTGTTTTGTTTTAGATGTAAACTCGCGAAGATGAACAGGCCTGGTCAAAGTCAAAAGTTTATATTCTGAACTTAAGCCCTTTGCAGGGCACTTACGCCGGTATTCACAAACGATGCTTGCGTAGGTGAAGCAGAAAATACATCGTTGAATAGAGCTCTGTGATTGATTCGTGTGTCACTCTCTGTGAGACCTTATAGTAATGTTTGTGAAAACGGACGTTATACACGTCCCAAATAGCTCGCCCTACCACCACTTCGGGACAACATATGGGCTGGTGCTGAGAAGAAGTGGCGGAAGAAAAGCTGTACAAAAAACAATTTAAACTGCCTACATCCGAAACTATCCGAAACTTTTGAATCGGTTACGGTTACGGTTTCGGATATTTATTTATTTCGGAAATCCGAAAGTTTCGGTTACGGTTACGGATATCCATAACATCCCTGGTTTATGATTGGTGTCAAATAAGATACATCTATATTTTTAGATTTCTTGTAACTCCTTTATGCCAAAATTCATAGAAATCCGCTCATAATTATACCAACAGAAATTCATCGAAAATTTCCTCAACAGTACCTCTAGCATGAACAACTTTTGTCTTCAAATCGTTTGCGTATTCGACAAATTCGATTTTTCGAATTTAACAATAACGTGACAATTTTGATACTGAAAATAAGTTTCGTGCAACCATTTCTCATACTAAGTTCACTTTACGACACGTTCACAAGGGCGCTGTTGTAATTTTCGTACTAAATCTTTTGATGGCGATTCGAATACGCAAACGATTCGAATTCGAAAGTTTTTCGTGCTAGTCGTAGTCGTGAAAACGTGACAGACAGACGGAGTTACTTTCTATATTAGTATAAATAGATAGCGTAGGTACAGACATATTCTACGTAAAGTCAATTACAATAATGACTTGTTTATTAGTGAACTTTTCTACAGCTCGTGTATTGATCTCTATCAAGAGACAGGGTTTCAAGCTAAGCACAGTCTTATTTCGTTGTAATAGAGGCTATTTTCGAACAAAAATGTGTAGTACTAGCAGCCGCCCGCGACTTCGTACGCGTGGACCCCGTTTTACTCCCCTTAGGGGTTGGATTTTGCAAAATCCCGTCTAAGTGAGCTACCTACGTTCTAAAAAGAACCCCCATGCTAAATTTGAGACTCCTAGCACCTGTAGTTTCGTGATGAATGAGTGAGTCAGTCAGTCAGTCAATCAGTTAGTGACCTTTCGCTTTTATAGATATAGATGATGCGCTGAAGACTCT